CTGAATCAGGTGTGTTGGAGCCAGGAAAAACATAAAACATGTAGGGCTGCGGCCCTCGAGGACCAGGATTGCCCACCCCTGGTTTATACATTAGATATATGTTGGCTATACCCGCCTTTGATTTTGTCAACAAATCTTTCACCAATCCACCAGATCTTCCAATAGCGTCTTGGATGTTCTGTCGATGCCAACCTCCAGATATTCGTAGTGATTTTATTTCTCTTTTCCTTCATCTTCAGATTTAGTAAAATGTTTGGTTTCCCTCAGTGACGAGATGAAGTCCAGCACTGCCTTAAAAAGCCTGGAGGTGATGAGCCAAACTCTGCAGGTGTGAGTGATTAGCGCAGGGCCCAATCCGGGAGGCAGGGGGTGAAAACACCAAAATGCCTCATAACCGTCAGAAACTGAGACCTCACAGTCCAGGAACACCAAACTGCCATCTTTTACATCCTCTCATGTGAACTTTATATATTTATCCACAGAGGTGATGTGATCAGTGAAATGTTGGACTTCCTGGGATTCAATTTTAACCCTGGACTCTTTGTCCACCATGTGGAGGCAGTGCTCTTAAGGCTGAGTTCACCTGAAACTCATCAGACTGAAGAAGTCTCTTGCAGGAGAGACGAAACGTTTCATTAAAGAAGAACCATCCAGAGGACCTACTTATTTTTTCTTTTTGAATTTTTTTCTACCTGGATTACTGAGATCCATCAGGACATTTAGAACAGCGTATTCACATTTCAACCTTGTTTTGGGGGAGGCCACGTTACAAGAATCAACACTGCAGTTTTAAAACTGTTTTTGATACGAAGCTGTTTTTATTTCCCATGATGCATTTTCTATTTGGAAACCTTTGATTCAGCTGATAAAATGTTACAAAAAGCCCTCAGAAAGAGATACGAGTTTTTACCATTTTAAGGGAAATTTAACGTATTGGAGAAAAAAAATGCTGTGCCTCTTATTTTGTTTTGACATTTTATTTTTTTAAATCCTCACTTGTCTGTATTTCTTTCCTGTTTGTCGTCAGTACCTTCATCTTTTTCATTTTAGTTTTATTTTAGTTTGAGGCACATGGAAGAATCTGATCAAGCAGCAGACAAAAAACAAAGCTTTTTAACTCTAAAATCATCTGT